TTTTAAATGTAGTCGGCTACGTTATGAGTATCAGCACTTATACTACTCGAGCTGATTCTTCATATGATATATTAAACCTCGATGCTAACTCCACGGATGTAGAGAAAAACAAGGTCAACGTTGGTTTATTATAAACGAGGTCAACACGTGACATCCCTAAACAGGCATGTAGAATATAACTCGTTTTGCGAAAAAACACGGGATTCGATGTAACTTTTTATGCTCTATAGGCCAGGGGTATTGAAATTTTCCGTATAAACTGGGCAGATCTGAACGGGTGTACCTAATATAAAGCTAAAACGTTTTCTGAACACCCTCTGAAGATCCGAAGGGAGGTTTCAGGTATTTCTGATCGATTCGCCATGATAGACTATTTATATTCTGTAGGTTCTATTGTGCGTAGATGAGTCTTTTTGTGGTATCAAAGTGGACTGATTTCTGGCGATATCTGTCTGCCAACTATACAAACGTTTTCTTAGCTTTTTTCTCTCGGCACCGGTGTAAAATATAATTTTCTACTTTTCTCTTGTGATTGGCTTATCCATAGAACATGTGACAGCCATTTCTCCGTATTTTGCGCACAGACAGATCGACAACCATTTTGTAAGATCCTAAACTACAGTCAAGAGAATTAACAAGACTATCTCCTTTATCTATCTATTATATTAACAAGATTAACGATGTTTGTTCTTTCCATAGACGGATCATAAATGCATTTCGAAATAAGGATGACATNCCTTTATCTCTCCTTTATCTATCTATTATATTAACAAGATTAACGATGTTTGTTCTTTCCATAGACGGATCATAAATGCATTTCGAAATAAGGATGACATATATCAGTTGATATAAATGCCTTTCTGATTGTTCAAATAATCTCCTTTATCTCTCCTTTATCTATCTATTATATTAACAAGATTAACGATGTTTGTTCTTTCCATAGACGGATCATAAATGCATTTCGAAATAAGGATGACATATATCAGTTGATATAAATGCCTTTCTGATTGTTCAAATAATCTCCTTTATCTCTCCTTTATCTATCTATTATATTAACAAGATTAACGATGTTTGTTCTTTCCATAGACGGATCATAAATGCATTTCAAAATAAAGATGACATCTATCAGTTGATATAAATGCCTTTCTGATTGTTCAAATAATCATCCGTATCATTATCCATTCAATCACTAACTTTAATCATTTAATATACTCTTTCTTGTTTACTCATGGCTACTGACAAACTATAATGTATTCTCACACGCCTGGAAACAAAAAGAAAAATGTACAGACATTTTCTCCATCATTTCTAATTTCTTTCTCCGTGTGTTCTACTAATTAAGAAAATAGCAGCAGAAAATAATAATGACATTAATTAAGAAAGAAAAGCAAAAACATCACTATCACACTAACGATGGACAACAGTATTGCGCGCAATATGGCGGCATTTTTAAATACCAACGAAATTTCTGCTACCTTGCGGTAGTTCTCGCTTGTTACCCCCAGTTTTCTTAGAAAAAAACGAGACATGGCTTTTGTTTTAAAACTGTTTAAACGTAATATTCGTCATTATGAGCTGGGCTTGCTTTGAATAGGATCCTTGCCTTTTCCACAGTTCTCATGCTTCTTTTTCGCATATTTGTGTAAATGTGTCTAGGTGCGCTTTCATTTTATGCTTTGCTTGTTAACGGAAGCCGCCAAAATTCGCGCGTTTACCATTTCTATTTTCTTTCTACTAATTAAGAAAATAGAAGCAGAAAATTCAGTATCGCACTAACGGTGGACAACAATGGGAAATGAATTGTGATTTCATTGCCGGTAGTGACGAATTCCACGGCGTGTCTCGAACTGCCGTACCTACTGGCATATTGACAATAAACGCTCGAATGAACTAAGTCGGTCCTATTTCCAAATGACTGCGACTGATACAGTAAATTAACGGTCAGATGAACGAGTTTGGCAGCTGTAAAACATTCATCTCGATACAGATGATTGGACTCTGAAACAAGGTCCACTTGTAGATAAATATATATTTGCGGTTCGTACATTCATCGCTGAACGACTGTATTTAGTTGATGATGCAGCTCACATTATGCCGCCAAGTGATGCTAAAGGAATGAACATGGCTACTGCCGATGTAAAAGTTTCGGCGCACGCTCTTACCTCTTATATGAGTATGATAAATCCCACCTTCTCCGTTCTTATTCAAAAACGTGTTTAGATCATGTTTGACTAGCACAAGAGTTTGCTCTTATCGTTTCACAGCTTCTTCACCAAAACTTTAACAAAACTCTAAAGGCAAGATAATAGCAGCTAATGAATTCGGAACTTTTACAACGTCAGTTTACTTAGATATATGTTGGGATTACAGAATGGCATAAGCAACTGTTCATTTTCTATTTCATATCTACAAGGCGTTTCTAAAATAGTTCATATTGTTCGTGAACTATCTCAAGGAGCTGTTCTATCTCCGCTTTTGTTTTCAATGTTTTGTTATGACCTTCCTATCAAAGTGTCATTCAGTGGTTTAATAAGTATGTGTGCTGACGATATTGTTGTCTCTCACATCAGTCCTTTTGCCTCTATCGATGACCTTTATCTTTTGCAAAAACACTCCGAAAAAACCTTAGAGCATTCTCTTTTGCGGACCGATAAGCGTTCAGTCAATAGCAAGGTGCTGATCATTTTTGCAAAAAATGCAAATTTGTTTGTAATTTATGTGTAAAATAAATAGAAGATGATTTTTTGGACCAAGAGCCACCAAATGTTAAGCGTCAGAAACTCAGTTCAGGAACATGGCTGTGATTATTTCAACGTAGGATTGTTACAAGTGAAAATGTTCGGTAATCTTGCTAAGGATAAACCTAGTTTTCTTCAAAGATGAACTCCCACTCCCACATCAAAAACAAAACGTACCGTGTAATGATATGCGGTCAGTATACCATATCCCATTCGAGAGATAAAAATATATCCTGATCAGGATATCACAGCCCGATCAGAATATATATCCTCATCGGGATATATATCCCGTTCGGCTATGAGACCGGACTGCCTGTAGCTTTGAGCTGACAATGAATATTTAGAGCTTTTCTTGAAAATTCTATCATTTTGCAAAGAAAGGTGGTGTAGAGCTGGGAGATGTCTCATTTCGAATTGAAGAACTATACAATGCTGAAAAGCCACACGATGTGGTAAATTACTGACCTGGGTTTTCCAAGGCGAATCTTTGTCTGCTATGGAAAACTTTTAATCTTCCGAAAAACCCTGACCATTCGGCTAAACCGTGCTTTAAAAATAATCTAAGGTTTAGTAGCCCTGTTTTACTTTTTTTTCCAGTGTATCCAGTAGAATTTTGTTTTGTTTATGGCGGAACGGTGTAAAACCAAATTTTGCGACATATAGCAAATAGCGCTTAAGAAGATAGTTCTGCGCTTTCCGAATTTGATACGCGATCAGAAGGCAAGAGTCATCTCTAAATATTATTAAGTACGACGGTCAGATCAAACTTTCAATCGTTTATCAATCGCTCGAGTAATGTATCGGAAAGCGGAAACCCACACCTTTGGTAGTTTATTGCAATTTTCTTCCCTGTAAACTTCTAATTTATTAAGTTGTTCAACCAAATCTGGAGCTGACAGTTCATTGATGTCACTATTCTGAAATATGTAAGATATGCAAGACAATTCGCCTAGAATCTTTGAATAATTTTTCGGTTGGTACTCTTTTAGAATATCAATATGTTTTAGCCGATACGCTAATGCTAGTTTTCGATGATGCACATCGTCTTTATTTCGATAACTAGCTGAGGTATGAGCCACTGCTAAGTTTTTCAAACTTTCAATTATAGCTGGATGCTCTGCAGGCAGGATTTCGCTTCTTATTTCATATGATCTTTGATAATAATAGATCGAGAGATTGTAGTCATTTTTACATGAATAAATTTGAGCCAAATTATCATAACTATCGGCTACATCCGGATGATTTCGAGGTAAAAATGTTTCACGTAATTTCAATGCATATTGATGATAATCTAATGCACAGTCGTAATCACCGTTTCTTTGATAATAAGTACCAATGTTATTAAAACTTTGAGCATATTGCACAGGCGTAGCACAATGCTGACCTCGTAGTCGTAATGCTAATAGATAATAGCTCAGCGCCAAGTCCTGATTATGCACCGAATGATATAGAGCACCGATATTATTCAAAATTTTAGCAATACGATACATTTGTAATGGAAGTTCTTCATACTCAAGCAACATTGATTGATTATAATTTTTATAAGCACTTTCGAAATTCAACTTAAAATATTGTGCACGAGCTAAATGAAAATAACACTGAGCTCGATCAGTTGTAGAATGAGCTAATAAATTCTCAAAATACAACTCTGATTCAACATATTTTCCAATAACAACCAAAAGTTGTCCGAAAACAAGTAAAATATTGGTTTCTGACATTTCCGAACGACTGTATTCTAAGTAATCGTCAATGAGCTCGGGACCTTTGTTCACTGTTTTCAGGTGAACGAGCCATATTTTGCAATTATCGTCATAAAAAACATTTTCAATACGAAAGATGACCCCAAGGTCGAACAACACTTCTTCTTCATACGGGAATTCGCTGTATTCTGCAATATCCGCATGGATACAGTCGCTGGTCGAAATTTCAATTTCATATAGAATCGGCTTCAAATTGTTGTTACATTTTGACGGTTTTGTAGCAAATTTATAAGCGATTGTTTTTGAACGACTGGATGATATAAAACCGTTCGGTGATATGAGATTGCCAATATTCAGCTGTAACTCATCAATTTCACTTTGGGTTTGCTTTAGTCCACGATAAACGAGTAGTGATGTCATTGTTTGCAAACAGTGTTTTTCTCTTAGTCTTGAAGAAAGATCGAATATAAAGAAGCGAAATAAATACAAGTCCATTATGTTCTCGGTTCTCAATGCTTTATTGATCATACGATAAATAAATGACTCAGCCGTGTACCATTGAATTGCCTCTGCTGATTGATAGGTTTCTTCAAACATTTGAATTTTTTTCAAATCTACTTCACTATCATAGTAGTATTCCCGGCACTTATTTAGCATACGCTGTTTGGTCTGTTCGTCTGAATTATCAGGCATCAGAGACAGGACATATTTAAACAACTGTAACCATAAAAACTCAGCCGATTTTTTTGTTAAATTTCGTATTCCATTTTGTTTCGAATTATATAGATTAAATGTAACCAAATGCTGATCAATTCGTTCCATTTCTACTCTGATACCCAGCAGTAGATCAGCTTCTGTCGTATAGTAATTCACTATTTTATCACACTTGACATCATTTTTCGAACTCTTCTGACCAAGTACAAACACAGATGTAACTAGAGTCATTGCTTCTAGCAACTGCCAATTAGCATCATTACCGATAAGAACAACAAACACCTTTATTGACTTTTCTTGATAATACTCTTCACTAAAGAAATAGTTTCCACCAAGGTTATGAAAATCCTCGGACTTTTCACAGTGGAGATATCTTTTCATGTGGATCTTTTCATGTGGGTCACTGCTAACAACCTTTATAACAATATTATGTTTACCAGCCATTTGCTTCACGGATTCGTACAGTGGATCGTCGACCTCTAATTGGGAATCAGGCATATCACTTTCTGGGGATACACAACAATAGTTCGAATAGTAATCGATTATGATTTGGTTGAAGTCCTTAACAGAAATTGGTCAGAGTCAATGTATGATAGATTCGATCAAGTCAAACCCTGAGGTGTTTCAGACATGGCTTTTGATATCAGTATTTTGTTGCTTTCTCACAGAACTAGTGTTGAACACCAATTATTTTTTTGCCGACATTGAAAAGTATTCTACAAACCTATCACGTGAACTGCACTGTCACCCAAATTGTGACTTTTCGTATTCAACAAAACATCTATATACCTGACAAGGTTGTCGTATTGCAGCCATACAATGTTCATTATGTATTTCTTTCTCACTATAACATGAATGACATAAATCATAATTCGGACATTGTAAACATTTATAACGAACACCAGTAATTGGTGTTTCCTGACAGCCTGTAGAAAAGATGCAAATTTTATGCGTGCGTCTAAATGCTGTTTCGAAATAAGCCACGAAAAGCTTATCTGCGCAGATCCTCGGTCTAAAGCGTAACTTCTCCATTCAAAAGTGATGCGATAAGGTGGGTCTGAATGGAACCTACCTACACTTGTGCATATTTATAAGCGCTTACATGTACTTGCTCTTTCCATTACTTTATTTGTGATAACAAAAGTTGCTGAGCATCGAATTCTCGAAACGTTCGACAAAGAGATGAGAGCTTATACATGTTATGCATGCTTAAGATTGAGAAAGTAAACAGCAACACTGCCTAGGAAAAATAGAAAAAGAGCATCTAACCGAATAGACACTGAATAAAATACTGCTTCTGCGCAAATATTCTGTGTTAGGTTGTTGTGTTATTCTATATAACGTTACCTTCCAGCAATTACTTCCTTTATGCATTTCCACTCCATATTCTTCTTCTGTAAGAGGAGTTTGCAAACGTTAGTGGGAGGATGTCTTACCCACGTTACCCTTTTTATTGGCATCACAGCCAGCCTCTACATTCCTTATTGCTCGTGGCTCATGCACGTCCACAAGCGTCAGGGAGAGCGGAGGGTGGAGCGGGGTACTTTGTGAAAATTTCTAGCAATCTCCCTTCGCAAACTTTCACTCCTTATATTCCCTCTTTAGAGCAATTTCCCGGCGGAGCTACACGAAGACTTAGATAGTGCTACGCTGCTTCCAGCAACTGATGGCGTGAATCAGAGCTTCAGCAATAATGCCGTTTTACTAAAATTTTTCCCAAACTAGGTTTCGAAGTGCCCTAAACGTCTGCAGCCCAAGCTCCAATAGATTTTAGGTGCGGTGTCTCCGCGATTTACTATGTTCGCCTCTCTATCCCGTAGAATTCAGCTTTCGAAGACATAAGTACTTACCGTCGCAAGAAATACGTTCATGTTTAATAACAGTTTTTGCTCCGTTGTTATGAATATCTAAACCTAGATATTTATGGCTGTTTTTATCTGCACCATCTTTCTTTTGCGCACTTTCTATTGCTTCTCTAAAAATTCCAGTTATACTACTACAGCTCGCTGCTGTGATGTCAGGCTTCTTGTGGGGAGTAATTTTAGCCATTAACTTCTGCTTACGCGTCTTTGTAACTAACAAGACCTTCGTTTTATTCTATGTTAAGTTAACAAAACTTACGAAGCGCATTGGGGTTGTTTTTATTCTGTTGATTTACGAAGGCAATTACGTGCTTCGTTACGCATCACTTGGAGAAAGACGAAGAAGAAATACGTAATATGACCGTTTCATCACTTACAAAGATGTATTCAGTTCTCACCGATAAGAAATTTACGATAAAGCAAATTTGCTGGTTGTATTTCTTATCAGTTCTTATCAATTCATCCAAGTGCTTGGCGAGATCTCACATCACTTTCACACTACATATAGTAAATTCTATTTAAAAATAAAAGACTCTGCTACTTTGAGGTTCAAAATAAACTCGAACATCCAGTCGCATTACTTGCTCCACGAACTTGACAAGGATTGCAAGTTGTTGCCAGTTTAGTATCGGAGTAAGAATACCTCCTCTAGTTTATTTGCCTTTTTCTATCTATCGCATTCTATCCGTAGCCAACAATATATTTTCAACTTTCGTTAAAAATGTCGATTTTGTATTGTAAACTAGTGGTTACTAATACTGCTGCCTGTTATTCAAATCTAGATGAACTTCGTTTCGATCTAATAGAATTCAGTATGGAAAACTTTCATAATTAAACCTATTGTTCTACTGAAGTATTAGTAAAGAACAACAGAAGAGAGGTAGAATACAATACACGAATATATAAAATCAAAATTTGACCGGCAGGAAAAATTAACAAATACGTAAAAAGTAGCATCAGCTTTTCAAGCTGATGACGACAAACCATATAAGTTTTGATTGCATGGAAGTTAACACCGAGTCACCGGAAGCTTGTACTATACTCAAAGAGAAAGATAGACATCGACCTTATTCTTTTTTCATTGAAATAAGCAGCTCTTTAGCTTCGTTTTTATCTATAGTGCAAGAATGTTTTGTTCTGCCTTCACAAAAGGTGAAATACTAAGTGCCCTGTTTTCATTTTCGGCCATTTTGTGACCTTTCGCGTGCGCTTTTAAATGTAGTCGGCTACGTTATGAGTATCAGCACTTATACTACTCGAGCTGATTCTTCATATGATATATTAAACCTCGATGCTAACTCCACGGATGTAGAGAAAAACAAGGTCAACGTTGGTTT